TTTTACACTTACAGGTAAACTTACAGGCCCGGTACTTATTGAATCGGCGACAGACTTTTTGCCGCCCCATACTATCATTTCCTAAATTCCTAAAGATTACTCCTAAATTCCCTCGCACAGGCACCGGTTCTGGCGCCAGCCCTGCTAGGAACGAATTATATGGTAAAAACGAGGTATTGTCATGTATATGTAAAAAAAAAAAAAAAAAAGTTTAAAAGTGTTTAAAAATAATTAAGAAAATGATACGGTGCTCATAAAAAATTCTAGATCTTATATTCGATATTTTTCTGATGTTACTATGTACCTGGCTACTACAGCATAATTAATCTGCATCAGCAAGCTGATATTGCATTTATATTATTTCCTAATAATGCTGCATATAAACAAGATCTATGTTTGCTCGTAATTTACTGCAGTGATGAAAATGCAAATTTGTAGAGGTCGTTTCGAATGATATCAAAATATTTAAAGTAACGTCTAGTTTGGCTTTGGCCACATTTGGCTGATAAGGAGAGCTATTGAACTTCCTGACGATAACCGCTACGAAAATTTTCAAGAATGATCAAACGTATGAATGTCACACTTTGCATTTGAAAAAAAAGTCACAAATGTCACACACACTGCAAATGTCACACTTTGCATTTGAAAAAAATCACAAATGCAAAGTGTGACATTTCGCAATCCTGCGCATCCTCCAGTACAAGGCTTACTAAATGACTCTCGCCCTCTGGCATTTACAGTCCTAGACTGGCAATTGCAATGTTAGATTGGTGGCACTGTATTGTTACCGAGTCCTTTGTTACGCATCTTCTGAAATTTAATGCATATATGCTAGCAAATTCCTGCCATATTCTACCACGTGTATTGTACCACCTGTCTCAAGAGCCGCAACAGTTTGCCGCATTTTGTTCGGCAATGTCTTCTATTTTCAGTCAGCTGCTGCTAAGGATTTTAGATACTTCGACAGGGTGAACAACTCTTGTGCAAAGGGTTTGACAGTGTATGTTACAACAGTGTCGTCTAGTAGATACTTCTGTCTCTAATATTTGCACTATAACATGAGGATTACAAACCATTTATTTGGCTTAGTATTACTTCAAAACTCTACTTGTTAGCGGTCAAACATGCCCGTGGTCAATGCTACCTAAACACTCACTACCGCACCACACGCATGCATTTCCAGGAATGCACCTTATGTCACAAAAACCTGAAAATTCACTGGTACCTTAGGTGTCAATCCCTTGCTGTAAATACCCACTTTATACGCTATTTTCTGTGAGTTGGGTGTGAATGCGAACCACTTTATACATTGTGTTCTGTGAGTTGCAGTGAACGTTAAATACCACAATTTCCACCAGTTGATTTGCTCACATGCTTGATCCCCCTCCCTGAAAGTTTCCTAACAATTGTCATCGGAAATTCCGATAATTTTTTTCTTGTGAGTAGATAGCATGCTACAATATGGTAATTCAATCTAGGTTCTTTTTTTCCACGTGTAACGTGAATCAGAGTCAGTTTCCTTTAAGGAGTTCTCACAAGTAAACCTTCTCTCCTTGATACCGGTTTCCTGGAAACCCATACATTTTCTGAAAACTTATGTCAGAAGGAGAAAAACTGTGAAATCTTAGGGGTAGAGGGACAAACGTTTAGGAGCCGTAGGGCACACAAAGTATCAGAAAAGTGTTGGAAACATAACACCAGAAGTCGCTAAAATGCTCATTTCACGTATTTATATGAACTAATAATATGGTAAGAAGGTGGGGATCTCTATATAAAGGAAGAAACAACTTGTTCAAAGGAAACATTATACGTTGGGATGTTGAAATGTGACTTACTGACTTCAAGCAAAATCTATTACAAGAGACAATCAATCTGCAAGTCATAAAATAAACAGTGAGACGGGCAGAAATACATTTCACAATGGGTACATTTTACAAAAGCGATAGCCTCACACTTTGCACACCCATCATTTGTCAATGAATCGAAGCGGTAATCCATTGGCGCAATCGACATTCCAGGTTCGTCGTCCAAGTAATCTGCCCTTATAAAAAGCATACTTAATCAAGTTCTTAAAACAAGGAGCACTGCATTGATACAGTGAAAAGGACAGCAGGGCGAGAAAACTATCACGATGCCAAATGTACTCCTGTGTCTCGATAATGATTGCGTCCTTATGTAACGAACAAAAGATTTGTAGTGTCTGAAAAAATTAATATCCAGAGGCTGGATCTTTCCCGTAAATCCTTCAGGTACCAGTTCCTTTTGTAGGACTTAAGCATCAGGTACTTCGGAAGCAGAAAATGCATGAACATCAGTGGTGTGGCTAGGGTGGGGCAAGGGGGGATATCTGTCCCCGGGCGCAGCATCCAAGAGGCGCCAAATTGATGCTACGAAATGTTTTAATGAAATGTTTTCCATTCTTGGCACACAGAAAGAGGCGCAAATTCTCCAGTTGTCCCCGGGCGCTGGAAACTCTAGCTACGCCCCTGATGTAAACAGTAATGAACAATTCTTTCAAAGTCTTTGAGTTTAACAAATAAATAGAACTTAACTGTAGTAAATGTTCTGAATACAAGGAACAGAGACGTCATTACAGAAATATGTCCATCTATACACATTTCAATGATACTGTGTGGGTTCTGTAACTCCTAAACGCTTTTCCCTCTGCCCCTAAGACTTTACAGTTTTTCTACTTGTGATATAAGCTTTCTAAAAATATATGGATTTCCGGAAAACCGGTATCAAAGGAGAGAAGGTTTACTTGTCAAAGACGGCTTTCTTCTTTTTAGGCAGATAGCCTTCACGCGCTTTGCTATAATTTACACACATTGTGTAAGGAATATATTTTAATTAAATTAAGGTGTATATGTATATATGTGTGTACACGCACACGCTTTAAATTTAGAACAAAAATATGCATAACAATGTGAATAAGTTATGATATTTTTGTGTTTCAAAGTTTATTTCTATACTGCTACTTATAACGTGTATTGTTTTCTAAAGTTTTTTCATACACTTTAAAATCACCGATACACCGATACACAAAGTATCGATCTTGACCGATACACAAAGTATCGGTCAACAATTTTTCAGCATCATATAAACTTACATAGGGTATGCCTTGTTTTTCTCCGAGTAGCATTCCCCCCTTACTGCTTGATCGTTTTTATTTTATTTTAGTTTTCCTTACTGTATTATCACGTGCTATTATTATAGAAGTTTTATTTCAAACGTAGCGACGAAGCTGCTCAGTAAATAGTAATGAACAATTCTTTCAAAGTCTTTGAGGTTAACAAATAAATAGAACTTAACTGTAATAAATGTTCTCAATAATTTTGCTGCGTTGCCCGGAGACAGGACTGAAATGGATTGCATTGGATTTTTCAATTATTTAAGAGACACTTAAAGGAAGGGATAGTCTTCGCCGATGACTTTCTAAAAGAAGCTGCCTCAAATTTGCATTATGTGCAGGGAAAATCATGAAAACACCTATGCAGCCAGCCTCTTCGATAGGATTTGAACCTGAAATGAACTATCAGTGAACTATAATGATCTCATCCGCGCGGCTACTGAAAGGCGACTCGAGCAAGAAAAATCCAAGTGTCTTAGTTACTATCCTTACACCTTTTACAGCTGAATTCTGTCGATTTGTACAAGCCGATTCATCTAATCCTCCCGCTCAGATCTCAGAAATGAGCCTAATATCTTTTCTAATTGAAAATGAAACTAGAGTTATTAAAGATGGCAAATTCTCTGCCCTACATCGCAGTGATCTTTTAACTATATAATTTTTGAAGTATGCATTTATAAAAACGCTGGAGAATATAATCGATGCTTTAGGGTTCTGAGAGTTCAATTAATGCATCTTCTATCTGCCATGGGTGAGAAGATGCAAAATTATGCAAAATTTATTACTTTAATAAAAGGTATATTATTATATATCTATTTTAAACTGTATAATATTCATTTAAAACTCTCAAGAATTCACTCCTGTCAGGTGCACTAAAGAATTTTCAGGTTCATCTGTGTTTTCCCACTTAGCCATGCATCAATTAGCACAGATAATTGGCAATTCGGTGTAGTATATCTTCTCAACCCTCTGAACTCCATTACTTAAATATTACATGCACATTATATCCTCAAAAAAAATAGATACATACACACGACAACTCTATTTCATATCACTTTAGAGATATACAAAATCATCTCATTTCGTCTCCAAAATCGAATCGCAAAAGAAACCACCAATTCACTAGTTTTAAATATTTCGTGTTTTGTAATTTGTGTAGTCTTACTGATTCTATGACGGATGATCGTATGTTAAAAGAAATACGGATATTTTCAAAATATAAATTTTACATTTAGTGAAGAAAAAAAGAAAAATAAAAAAGAGAGAGGAACAGAAGTGTTTTGGAGTTTTAACACTCCAACATCCTAAAAAGAAGCTCAGCATGCTAGAAGGTCAGATTTTGCTCAAAACAAAATGGTTTAAACGAAAACCTCAGTTTGATTTCGGACTTTTTTTTTTTTTTTTCAGCTTTCCCTGATAATGTTTTAAGGCCTTTTACACATTAAGCGCAATTTTATTCTGAATTTTGAGGAAAATTGCAGCTGCAATTTTTGCATTAGCTTTGAAAAAATAAATCTGGAAAACAGAGTAAAATTATTAGCGTAAATTCAGTTTCAAGTAACATAGTTTCAGTTCATTGCATAAAACTTTTGAAATCAAAACTGAGAATTTCTACTAAGCATAAATAACAATAACTTAACCTATTACCTCAGCATATTTTTTTTTTTTTATTTAGCACCGTATCACTTTGAAAATGATTAATACATTTTGCTCGGATTAGTGAAATTGTTGCAGATATCTGACCCTTAACATAGTTTTCTAGGTCAGGCTCTTTTATAGTAACAGACAAACGATATTGGGGAAAGCATCAAAGTATCATGGCACCCGCATTTTTTTGGCTCGTTAACCTAAATTCGTACATATATGTTGTCAAAAACATCTTCTCAGCTAGAACATAACTGATACAAAGTCGTTTTCAGTCACAATTTAGCTGCAGTAAAAGAAATAAGCTGAATTAGAATATCTATTACTTACTCTGAGAGCTGCAACTAAAATATAAAGAACGAAAAATGTTATATGTAAGTACGTTTTATTTACCTTTATTCTAATTTCTAACTTGCGGGTTATTTTAGCATATTTATATAAAATACGAGTACACTGCCTAAAGAGAATGATTTTGAAATTCTTTGAAAATATGCATTCTTTCTTACTCATACATTTTTTATCAAAACTGGACCCACCAATGGCCGAGTGATTAAAGGCATGAAACACTGGTAGTTCCGGCGGTTGAACGAATCGTGTGTATGCGGTTTTCCTGCTTTTCGTCTGTGTAATACTAATTCTTAATTTTTAAGAATCCTTAAAAAAGCTTAATTTTTTTATCCTCAGAAAGACATCCCCTCTCCACAGGCAAATAGTCCTTGTATGGGTTGGCCCTAATCCAATAATGTAGTCATCCCAATTACACGAGTTTGGAAAGAGGTACGCAGTTTTCATTCAAAAATAAACTAAATATACAAGTATTATTTACTTACCTTTATGGTTACTGCATAATTTGTTAAGCTGCCTTTACATTCTGAATGCGCAACAAGACTGAGAATTGATATTTCACATAAAAAGTGCTTTTACTGAAAACTGCATCACAGCTTCATGTTTTGTAAAATATATATTTTGTGTTTTTATTATAAGTTTCTGAATGTTTGTTTGGATAGATATTGTGACCTCCGTCTGGATTATGATCAATATAAATATTCTGAAAATAAATTTGAACTTTGTATTAAATATGTAGATTTCAATATTCTACATAGTGTTTTCAAGTTTTGCGTTCATTTGAATAAACCTACGGATAGAGAGTAGTTAAGCAAGTAAAAGCATTTAGAATCAGAATGTAAATAGCTTACGATAGCACTAATTGGTACGATAATCTTAAGTTTACAATTACGCATAAAGCCCAAAATTATCCGAGGCGAAAGAGAATGTATCAACATTCGGCTGATTCAGTATTAAAAAGGAAAAATGTACAATGTTTCATTCTGTTTGAACTTGAGTCTTCGAAATACCGTAAGCAACCACAATCTCTGTGAAATTCACAATAATTGCGAGGTACTCTTCAGATAATAAATAGTTTTGGTTTGGTTTATTTGATATGACAATGCACATGAGAGCTATATACCTAAGAGGAGGGATGCCTTCGTGAAGGACCTTCCAAATGAAACTGGCTCGTACCCCCTTTTACGCATGAAGAAAACTACAAAAATGCCCATGCCGTCAGCCCGTTCACCTAGAATCGAAACCAGGTCGAATTACTAATAGTTTAACGCTTTATCGCTCCGTCCGCTGACGGGCCCAGGTAAAGAAAGAATGTGATAATAGCATCAGTCTGGTTTTCTAAGGCAAGAAAATCAGTTCGTTCTTGTAATTTACCTTAAATACTCGGCAGTAACCGAGAGCTTCGATAAAGAATTTGAAAACTATTAATCACGATAAGTTGTAAAGCAATTGGAAGTGAATCATCCATTCAGGTACACTGTGCAAAAAAAAGGGGGGGACAGTTCGATATCTCCCGTTCTACTGGGCCGATTGACAAAATTCAAATTGCTTTCTTCATGTTTCGAAAGGATATATATTAGATTTATATATAGTACTACTCTAACATAGGTATTTTGACACAGAATCAGACTTTTTCTGAAATAGCATGCCAATTTTTTTACATATTTCGATTCTACGACTCAAATTATGCCAGATTCCCAAGTTTTGTAAAAATAGCATGAGTAGTTTTTACAAAATTAGCTCTCAAAATTTTAGTTCCTCAGTGTTAATTGAATTTGGTATACATTTATTAATATCTCTTTCTTTTATTAAACGCTTTTTATTCTTCCTTTCACATTTCGAAATTTAGATTCATTCCAAATAAAATTCACCCATTTTTTATTATTTATTTTTAAATAATTTCTATAAATTTTTCGAAAAAAATTTTGAATTATAACCTACAAAATTTTTACCATCATCATAAAGTAGATGTATTTCTAAGCATACCTGCAAAAAATTAGAGTTTTTATTTTTTAAGATATACATGAATTTGCATATCGTGGAGTTTTGAAATTTAGCTTTTTTTTTTTTTTTTTTTTTTTTTTTTTTTAAAGCAATTATAACGCCAAATGTGATTCATGGATTTTGTTACAGTGAATTGCCACAGCTATTTTTAACCTTAAATTTTTACGGAGAATCAATTATATGAAATTTTTTCCCTCAATGATGCATAATAAATATTTATTAATACTATATGAAAAGCTATTTTTAATTATAGAATTAAAATTAATTAATAATAAAGTTATTAAATAATTAATAAAGTTAAAAAATAATAAAAGTTAAAAAAAAAATTAATTATTATTTTTAATAATTTTCAATTTCTTTTTTCAATTTCTTTCTTTTTTTCAATTACTTTCTTTTTTTTTTTTTTTTTTTATTTATATATATATATATTTGTATGAATAAATTTTTACCTTCGCCGTGTTATCGTCTGCTACTTTACTTTAATTACATCTAAATCGAATTGTCTAAAACTGAGAATGTTCGTTTGATGTTTATTTTTACAATGTCTTTAAGCAAACAGCACTTTGGAATAGTTCTGGGACATTTCCAATCTGAAAAATCATTTAGGCAAATAGACGAAATTACTGGCCATTCTAAAAGCAGAATTCATCGCATTTGACGCAACTGAAACGCATTTCAAGCAAATGATATGTTTAAAAATTGACAAGAATGCAAAATTTATGGAAGTGTAACAATCGAAAAATCTTAATTTTCTTGTGTCAGCACTGAAAACAAATCTAGAAGGAAAGAAGAAAATTAGGGGGGAAAAAAGCAAAAAATTTGAAGAGCAATCTACTTCAAGAAAGTTGGGTGTTCAAAGAGAAAACACTTGGACTTGTACACCAGCAAACACCAACAACTGAGCAACGGAAAAGACAAAAATGATATCAATGCAGATTAAAGTGAAGTGCGACTGGTTTTCGACAATATGTTTGTATAAATTTAAATTACGTTATAGAACATCATCATAAACGGAGAATCCCATGATTTCTCTGTCGAATTATTTGAAGATTTAGGAATTTATACAGTGACGTATATGGATGTCATCTAAAGACGTTTTCCCTCTTGATGAAACCCGTCTTTCCTTTCATCTCATGCCTTCAAAATGCCTAGCCTGTAAAGACTCATAAAGGCTCTGACCAAATACTGATGAAATGGATTAAATTGGATTATTAAGTTACGGCAAAGCAGGGCTATCTGCCTAAAAGGAGGGGTGCCTTCGGGAAGAACTTTCTAAGGTAAACCAACTCGTCTACGCGTTACACATGAGAAAACCTTGAAAACTCCCATGCAACCAGCTCGTTTGCCGAGATTCGAACCCCGGAACGAACTACCAGTGTTCAAAGACTTTTACCGCTCGGCCGTTTGTGGGTCATTATGAAATGAAAGGCGATAACTTTATTTAAAATGAATGTCAGAAATACCAAGATGTTTCGAAAAGTTGGATGCTTTTTAATATACTTGTAGAATGCCTGAAGGAAAAGAGCAAGCCATTAAGGAAAAAATATAAGCTTTTGCATAAAATTTAGTATTTTTTTTAAATTTTAAACTTTTTTAATCTTATGATATTTGATTCTAATGACTTCAAAAATAAAATATTTGACTAAAATATTGAATAATATTTTAAGTATTTAAAAATTAAAAAATGAAATATGAATAATATTTTAAGAAACTAAATGTACGGTGATAAAATTGTGTAAAGCAATGGGTCATAATGATAAAACTATTTAAAGCAATGTATGCAGGTCATCCTAAGTTAAAATGTCCGTTATACACCTCTCTTATTCATATATATTTTTTGAACGGCCCATTGAAAAGCGTGTTAATTGTGCTTTACTGTATTTTCTCTTTTAATCTATGCAGTTTTCAAATGCATCGTAGTCTGAGCCACAAAGTATTCTTTCGAAAGAAACGCAATTCAAATAAATAAAATCAAATTCTGGAAAATGTATATTAACAAATATATTTAACCCTTTAACTGTCAAGTTATTTTGATGATTTGGGTACACAAATTGTGAAATTTTTTTATTGGAAAAACCAAATGTAGCCGAAATAAACATCTCCCGATATATAATCGGGTATGACAATACGATGCACTCAAAAAAAAAAAAAAAATTACCCCGAGAAATACTCGGGCGTGACATTTTCGAACACCCGAGATAATCTCGAGCATGACAGTTAAAAGGTTAAAATGCGCAGTACGAATGAATAAATAGAAAATTTTAAAACAATTATCTGAAGAGACAATGCAACACAAATAATTAAAATAAAATTCTAAAAATTTAAAAACTACCTAAAATAATAACTATGAATTAAAAATATAGTATAAAGAAAACTATTTGAAAAAAATAAATGATGCACCTTTTATTTAAACTACGCAGTTCGAATGAGTAAATAGAAAATTTTAAAACGGTTATTTGAAAGAAACCATGCAACTTGAACAATTAAAATGAAATTCGAAAAAGAAAAAAATATTAAAATAATAACAATTAAAAATATAATATAAAGAAAAAGGGAAAGGAAAATAGGTTGCCATATAATTAAGAAGTTCGCTAAGTGAACTATTCTTGACGCAAACTGAAAAAAATTTTCCAAGACAAAATTTTGAATTTCTCCGTAAATTTCGCAACAAATTTTACAAAATTTAATATTTAGGCATAGTTTGAGTCGTAGAATCGAAATATGTAAAAACACTGGTATGTTATTTCAGAAAACATCCGATTTTGTGTCAAAATACCCATGTTAAAACAGTGCTATATATAAAGCTAATATATATCCTAAGTCGCGCTTTCGAGACATGAAAAACGCAGTTTGAATTTCGTTAATTGGCCTAGTAGAACGGGAAATATAGAACTGTCTCTTCCTCCCCCTCCCGCAGTGTACATTGTAAAGAAAAAGGCTCAACTTTGGTATGCACATAGGGATCTGTGTTTCACAGATATGACGTAGTACTTTTTTTAAGGAATTTTTTTAAGCAAACAGAAAT